CGTCTTGCTTGAGGCGGTTATATACGGTGCACTGTGTGGGAGGTTACCCTTACAGCATAAGGATATGCCTGTGATATGTCTGCAAAATGTTTGCAGCTGCAGCCACACCAGTGCAGTTTCATATTCAGATGTGCAACAGCAGTGTGAGTCTTTGCAAACATATATGCAAGTCAGTCACTGAAGCCTTAGCTACCCTAGAAGGTGTCTGTGTGCTGATGTACAGTAAACTAGTCACTAAGTTAATAAGGGACTAGTTATTCTCCATTAGATCCCTGTACAGGAACTTAAAGGGAACTGCAGTCTTCACTTTATAGCGTGAGCTAAGAATAGAGAGTGTTACCTCGCTTGATGAACCAGTTTTAATACCTCAGGCTGAGAACTTAAGTTTTCTGAATACTAAATGAGCAAGGGAATGGAGAAAGAGATCAAATTTTCACGTCTGGAGAATGTAGAATGTATGCTACTTTTTTTTTTCCTGAAGAATATAGGAAATGTGGGCTGTTGGCACTGGACAGTAGTGATAATCCCTCAAATAACCTGACAGGAGTGTGGTATGGAATATCTTGCTGTTCTGTAAAATCACACATTGGCTTACTCAGAACTGCATTCTTTCGAAGTGCTTTTGTGGATGAACTTCAGTAAAGATAGCTCTCGTGGAAGGCTCCGTAAATTCTGTTCTACCTTCTTAGGTCTGTATCCTCACTTTGTCTCCAGCTCTTTTATTTACTTAAATAATTTATCTGAGGCCAAGTCAAAAGTCTGCAGAACAGCTGCTGGGGAGAGGTGGGGGGAAATGCTAGAACTGTTGTATTCTAGTACTGTCGTACTTGTATTGTTTGCTTCAATAGTTGATTTAAAAAAAATAATCTAGCTTTCAGTCGGACCTTCTGCCTCTAACAGAATTTTTCAGAACTTCAGTCAGTGACTCTGACCATGTGTCAAAATGAAAATGATTGTACAAACAGCATTATCATAGGCATGGCACAGTTTAAGAAGTAATTGGTAGTTAAATATTGGAAGCAAAAAATCTTGAGTCCTTCAAGTTACATCTTAGAGACAAGTCAGCTTAGCTTTGTCTCAGATATGACCTGATTAAGGTGGAGTGTTGTTTAATGTGATAAAATGTGTTGTTAATATATCAGTGTTTATACATTGAAATAACTTTATTCAAACTAGGTGTTATGTAAGCTAGAAAGGTGTGCATGCCTTTTTAAGACTAACAAATTTTCCCGTTGGAAAACATAAGTTCTCTCTTCATAGGGAATTGGTCATCTTTTCACAATATCAGCTTTTCTCAAAATACCTAATCTAACAACTCTAGCTGCTTGAGGTAAATAAATAAATACACACACACTCTCCTAAATATATACTTAGCACAACTCCAAGAAATAAACCATATAACATTCATAGGTGTATTACACAGGTCAGAAAACACCAAAATTATGGCAAGAAACTTGTGATCTACGTGTAGACTGCAATGGAGAATTGAGATGGAAGGAAAATGTGATGAGGAAGGATTAAGTTAAAATGGTAATGTGTATATGAAATAACTACTGTTTTGCATGCACTGTGGAAAACCTGGTCAGTGAGAGGGAGGAAAATTAAAGGAACACTAAGATGCAACTTGAGTTGGAGCTTTCATGACAACATTAAGGCAATGCATAGGAGAGGCTGCAAGAAGAGTCAATAAGGAGCATGTTGGTGAGACAGGTGGCTGTAGCTCAGGTGTAAAAATTCAATACTAATAAAGAAAGGCTTTCACATTATAGAATCATAGAATGGTAAGGGGTTGGAAGGGACATTAAAGATCACTTGGTTTCAACCCCACTGCCATGATCAGAGACATCTTCCACTAGACCAGGTTGCTCAGAGCTCCATCCAACCTGGCGTTGAACACTGCCAGGGAGAGGGCATCCACAGCTTCTCTGGCAACCTGTTCCAGTGTTTTACTAACCTCATGGTGAAGAGTTTCTTCCTAATATCTAATCTAAATCTGCCCTCGTTTAGTTTACAGCCATTCCCCCTTGTCCTATCACTGCACACCCTTGTGAAAAAGTCCCTCTCCATCCTTCCTGTAGGCCCCTTTCAGGTGCTGGAAGGCTGCTCTAAGGTCACCCTGCAGCCTTCTCTTCTCCAGGCTGAACAGCCCCAACTCTCTTAGTCTGTCGTTGTAGGAGAGGTACTCCAGCCCTCTGATATCTTTGTGGCCCTCCTCTGAACCCGCTCCAACACATCCATGTCCTTCTTGTGTTGGGGGCTCCAGAGCTGGACGCAGGCGAGAGCGGAGTAAAGGGGCAGAATCCCCTTCCTCGCCCTGCTGGCCACGCTTCTCTTGATGCAGCCCAGGCTACGGTTGGCTTTCTGGGCTGCAAGCGCACATTCGTGGTTCATGTTGAGCTTCTCATCCAGCAGTACCCCCAAGTCCTTCTCCTCAGTGCTGCTCTCGAGCCACTCTCTGCCCAGCCTGTACTTGTGTATTGGATTACCCCGACCCATGTGCAGGACCTTGCACTTGGGCTTGTTGAACTTCATGAGGTTCATGCAGGCCCACCTCTCCAGCCTGTCAAGGTCCCTCTGAATGGCATCCCTTCCCTCCAGCATGTCAGCCACACCACTGAGCTTGGTGTCGTCAGCAAACTTGCTGAGGGTGCACTCAGTCCCACTGTCCATGTTGCCGACAAAGATACTGAACAGCACCGGCCCCAGTACTGACCCCTGAGGCACACCACTCGTCACTGGTCTCCACCTGAACATCGAGCCATTGACTGTAACTCTTCGAGTGCGTCCATTGAGCCAGTTCCTTATCCCGCAAGTGGTCCATCTGTCAAATCCATGTCTTTCCAATTTAGAGACAAGGACATCATGCGGGACAGTGTCGAATGCCTTGCACAAGTCCAGGTAGATGATGTCAGTTGCCCGCCGTTTGTCCACCAATGCTATAACCCCATCATAGAAGGATACTAAGTTGGTCAGGCACGATTTGCCCTTTGTGAAGCCATGTTGGCTGTCCCCAGTCACCTCCTTGTTATCTATGCGTACCTGCTTACAAATGATGGTATTTCATATTCTAAATCTGAATGTCTGGAATGATTGGAAGTAAAGAATGATTAGCGTATGAAATCTTGGCATTCAGAAATAGATGTCTGTGAAACCATGTGGTGGTCTAAGCTGTACTAAAACCCTGCTGTTTTTTTAAAGCCTCTGTACTAAAAGCTAAAGTGTGAAAGAAAAGGTAAAAAAGCATACATGGAGAGAGGCAAATTTTCCTAAGTCTACATACAAAAATTTGAGAGACTAGAATTCTTTCCTAGGATCAGAATACAAGAATATAATTCCTTGTTCATATAGTAGTGGGTTTGACGGTATTGCTAGGGCTGCTTTATTTTTTTTTATGGTCTTCCACCTCTGGGTCAAGGTGCCAGGGAAACTTTTCAGCTTTTTCGTCTTGGAACACACTGGGGCATTTGGAAGGTCAGGTAGATACTGAGGTAATGGTTTTCTTTGTAAGAATAGTTTTCTGGAGCAAAGTTGTTATTGCAAAGTTGTTATTACTGAATAAGATACACCTCAGTAGTTACTTTCGGAACTTGGGGACATTTCCCCTTCTGAAGCACCTGCGTTGAAACTGATACTTAACCAGCTGGTATTAACAGTTAGGTGCAGCAAGTGCTAAGTAGTACCAGTGGGTCTAGTACTTCAGTTCTCGAGTACTTGTTCTATGGAGGTATTTAAAAGACACATAGATGCGGAGCTTAGGGACATGGTTTAGTGATGGAATTCAGTGTTAGGTTAATGGTTGGACTCAATGATCTTGACGGTCTCCTCCAACCGAAATAATTCTGTGATTCTGTGCATCAACATTGCAAAAGGCAACTTTAAGTTAATATCACAATTTCTAGTTAAAATCTTGCTTCCCATGTTCTAATCTCTGTAGTACTATATCACTGAAGTTTGATTAAAAGCCTGCATGTTACACCTAACCAAAACGTTTGAAATGTTTCATAGTTTGTATTTTTTGTTGATAACTCCTTTTCTTAAATGAAATGAAGGTTTGGGGGTTTCTTTCCAAAATGTGGTCAAATATGGTGCTCTTGGTGCTGCATGCGGCTTCTGTCTCAGTTACATGCATCTTTCCGGCGATTTCTTTATCATTTGCATGTTTCTGTAAAAGCCTGTGACTATTTTTAATTGCCAGTTATATTTTCTTGTGTGTGTCTATATAGTACTGAGCACATTGACTTGTATAGAGAGACAGTTGTAATTCTTCAAAATTGCAGGAGAAAGGGGACTATTTGGCAAAATAGTTTTTTTAGGCAACCATATATGTTATTAAGCTGAGGAGAGAGATATTCAGCCTTGAGCTCATCTTTCATCGTGGTTTTGTCAGCAGTTTAATGAACCGAGGAATATTCTTCGTATGGATTTAAGAAGACTAAATATCTGATAACTTAGTCATCTGGAATCTTATTCAAAAATGATTTAGATTTTTTTTAAAGGGTTTATATCCTATTGGTGTAGTATTGATAGTGTTACTAAATTAATGCCTGAATCGTTTGTATTTCATGCTTCTTCCCTCTGTCAGTGGCAACCGTACCTCGGTACTATACATCAGACTCAATCACCTGTGTGAGATCCAGTTCTGTTTCAATTGCAGCCTTGCTTTGCATCTAAATTGCTCTTTCTTTCAGTGACAATTGAGATTGTTCAGAACTGAACAAGACTGTGTCCACTGTAACACTAGAATATAAAGCTGAAAACTGCATAAACAGGATTTGCCTTTCACTTACATAGGACCCACAAATTAAATTGTGTTAAATATATTTGCATTTGTCAAGATGAGAATCCTGCATTTAAAAAAAATCTCCTGATGTGTCATCTCTGACACAGAAATCTTGTGTTTCAGTGCCTGACTAATCTCTGCCTTGCTGATGCTTTTGAATGAGCTTTGTATATGAAAGCACTACTAATCCTTGTACTTACTGTTTGAATGTTTGCTACAGGAAGCGAGCAGCTGCAAAGCATCTAATAGAGCGCTACTACCACCAGTTAACTGAGGGCTGTGGAAATGAAGCCTGCACGAATGAATTTTGTGCTTCCTGTCCAACTTTTCTCCGTATGGATAACAATGCAGCAGCCATTAAGGCCCTCGAGCTTTATAAGATTAATGCAAAACTCTGTGATCCTCATCCCTCCAAGAAAGGAACGAGCTCAGCTTACCTAGAAAACAATTCCAAAGGTGCCCATAACAATTCCTGTACTGACCGAAAAATGAACAAGAAGGAGATGCAAGGCCCAAGAGATGACTTTAAAGGTAAGATGCTATTTAGAATTTTCCTAAAATAAACACATTTAGTATCCATGAGTAAAAGCCTACAGAATTGACTGTGGTGGTGTTCTGCTGACTGAAGTAAAATGTAATACTGGGCAATCAAATATTTTACTATGGATTCTGAAATATGGCTGCATTATTGCTGAACACTGATTCCAAATCTGGGCCTTTAACACATCTGTTAAAATCCACATGCATTTGTTGCTCTCTGAGGTTACTGGTTTTGCAAATGTGGAGAGTTTAAGTGCTGTTGTATGACTGCTTTAGTTTCACTAGTTTCGTAACTCTTCTGTAGTTAATGAGTTATAAAAGTTATACTTTAACTAACTCCAGATTCTATGTTAAGAAACATAAGATGAACAAAAAATGATACAGTGGATGATAGGCAATACACCTACCAAGATCAAAAAATTTTAGTGATTTCTGAGCCAGCGTATGAAAATTAAATACTGTTTTGTATGTCTGTTCTAACTTCTGTTTAGCATTTCAAACTCTCTAGAATAATAAATACATACTACAATTCTAGTTGTCACCAAAACCTGTGATGCAAACAGAAATCACAAGCTAAATGAAATTAAAGCCATTAAACTTTGAGCAGACCTTTTTTAAGTATTGTTGCAAGAAGTTGTATAAACTTAGTTTCACCTCCTTTAGTTAAGATGAACAAATCTGAACTGTTTACAGCAAAGAATTAAAAAGCCCTACAGGATCAGTAATAAGACATAGTACTGTGTTATAAGGGACCTAAGATGCTCCAGTCAATACCTGCATCAGTTCGTTCTTTATCTGATGCCAAGGATAAATTTGTCCCCAAATTATTTATGACCTGAGTAAGCAGAGAGGCAAACAGCAGGGAGAGGAGAAGGGGAGCCAGTGTAGTGTTAGAGAGGTAAGAGGCACATTAGGTCTGTTTGATTTGTCTCTTGGTTTTGTGTATTTTTAATGGAGGTTTGCACATACAGGATTTTCCTCCTTCTCTCTGACCCTACTGTCCTCTCTCCCCAAGATAGATATCTAAGGGTTTTCTCAGCCTATCTCCAGAGACAGTCTGTTCTCTAAAGCAATGGCTCAGACTTCATCTGTTGGAGCATCACAAGTATTGACCTGTCATTGTAGCTGTATGGACAGAGAGCATTGTTGCGTTCTTAAAGCCCATCTGAGACTCTTACCTTTGGAATTGGACAATGTCTAAGGAAACTAGCTCTCTGAAATTGTTTAAGATCCATCTGGAGCAACAGTTACTGGGAAAACTGCAGTTAAGGTTTAAGAAAGCGAAGGAAAGGATGTGCAGTTTATTTTTATGCTTGGTGTAGGATTGAAAGTTCTAAATAAATTGAAAGAAATCCCTTCAGAAAGAATTACTGAAATTACTTTTCTGTAGTGCTAAGCCTTAAGACTTCTTCCTCTTTGGGGAAAAATGTATCTGGAGGCCATTGTCAGTGTCTCAGTAATATCTTTAATGCCAGTCCAAAAAGAGCAAGGAAATAGAAAAATTGTAAATATATAACAAACATGGGTTACAAATGTAGTCATATATACAGTGAGCCATTTCAAAAGAAAGCTGTTTTCAGCTTTGATCACCAAAATGTTAAATTGAGAACAGAGGAGGTTAGTGGACAGTCAGAGAACACACAGTAATAACAAAGCTTCCATAAGACATAATGAAAAGATAATTAATAAATTTGCTAATTAGGGAGTGTGGTGTTGGCAATATATAAATCACATGCAGTCTTTTTCACAGTCGATAATCACTGCTTAAGCTTGACTTCATGTGCAGATTTGTCATGGAGTATTACTGAGAACAAGGTCTGAGGGGAGATATGTTTACTTTGCTGGATCACATAGTTGTAATCAAAAGAGTAAGAGGAGAAGGCATGTAAAAGCTCACACATTCAGACACAAGTCAGCTAAAATTGACTTGAGTTAAAAGAAAGCTTTGCTTAACGTTTGCTTTTCTCCAGCTGTTCTCACTGCTGTGGATTAAAAATGGGACAGACCATTATGACAACTTAGTTAGAGGATGGTCACAGGATACAACTTAAAACTGTTACGAAACTGCTGATGGCAGTACTAAATACTTCAACTGGAAGTAGCGTGTGATTAGCTCCTTGGATACTAAAACCTTTAAAAGAATGACTGTTGAATTCCTGTTGTAAGTGTGGAAATCTGAAATGTGTTATATTGTTAAATTGTCAACTTCTGCTGATAATTTTTATGCAATGAATAACCTCTGCAATCCAGAGTCAGTGAACTTGAGGCTATGCTCCTCCTTTTGAGGAGCTATGACGTGGAACAGCATCTGTATCGGCAGTTAAATTTCTTTTAGTCAAGTTTGCTTCTTCAGCATGCACTGCAGCAGATAAAAATAGGAGCTGTTGCACTAAGCTTGAATCTTTTCATAATATTTTCAGTGCTGTTTTTTTAACAGGACAGATTTTGGTTTTGAAGCTTTTTTACTGTCTTCAGATCGGTTGGAAGTCAGTCTCAGTAGCATGACATAAGCTCAATGTTTCCTGTGTTATATGGGCTCTAAGAATGGCTTGGGGCTCTCTGAAAATCAATAGGTTGTCTGTCTTTGCATCATTTAGTTTGTATTTTTAATTTAATGACTGCTTGGAATGAATGTTAGTGTAGGCAATCACATTTCAAAACACTTTAAGATGTAACTATTAAAATGATACGCTTCTTTCTTTCTGCAGAAGTGGTAGTTCTAGTGTTAATGGTGAATAGTGCTGTGATGTGTGGTTTTTAGATCTCTAGGGATGCTATTAAACAGATTCAGTTTTAGTTCTAGATTATGTTTTGGTTCAGAATAATCTGTTTAAACTAGGACATCTTTTCAGAATCTGATCAGGTGGTAATCCTACTCTATATCATCACCTGAGGTGAAAGCACCTGTGGGTCCTGTTTGAGAAGTAGCATAGAAAGCTATAAATAAAGTTTTCTCCCCTTTTCTGAAGAGAAGGGAAGATTTCAAATAACAAATGGACCACCAAATTACTTACTTCATATCAGGGGTTTGGGCAATAGGGGGAACAGACAGGTATTTGAAGCCCATGTGAATGTGCAGATGATGTGGGTAAACCAGCTTGTTCATCTGAATAGCGCGTTGATGAGTATACTGAAGTTGTGTATCTCAGTGAGGCCTAATGGGCAAAGAAATAACCCACGTGCCCAACTGTGTGTGTAATTTAGAAGGCAGCAGAGATTTGTGAGCATGCATTGTGGTTTTTTGGAAGGATTTCAGGCATCAATTTAGTATAACAACAGTTGCAGAAATCAGTACAAATAGAAATAAGAGATCTTATATTCCCATTAATATCCAACAAAACAAATTATTGGCCGTTTTCTTCAAGATAGGGAGAGAGGGCATATGAAGTCCACATGCACGTGCTATGTTGGAAAGAAGAGGTTGATACAGTTCAGTTTGTGTATAGTTTAATGACTTACACATTAACTGTGCAGATTTACCAGAAGACTATATTGTCACAGTCTTATTAAGTCTTTTAAACGTCTTATTGATTTAGTTGGTCATTTAGACAATGCAATACTGTTAACTACTAAATGTAGTTAATTGGCTGCAAAACAGTTTTACCATTGAGCATGTTTGCTGATCTACATCCATGAATAAAATATTTTTTAAAATCATAGTGAATGAAATCATGACTCTTCATGCTAATGAAATTATAAAGTAACTGTCCGGAATTTATATTGCACAGAGACTGTTTTTTCCAGTGTTAATGATACGATACACAGCTTCCTTGAGTAGAGCGAATTAGAAATATTTTTTCTTTTTAATTTTTATCTTTAAATTAATACTTTATCTTTTTATAGATGTGACTTTTCTAACAGAAGACAAGATATATGAAATTCTTGAACTATGTCGAGAGAAAGAAGATTATTCCCCTTTAATCCGGGTGATTGGGAGAGTATTTTCTAGTGCTGAAGCATTGGTACAGAGTTTCCGAAAAGCCAAGCAGCACACCAAGGAGGAGCTCAAATCTCTTCAAGGAAAGGATGAAGACAAAGATGAAGATGAAAAGGAAAAAGCCGCCTGTTCGGCTGCTGCTATGGAAGAAGATTCAGGTGCATCATCATCTTCGTCGTCAAGAATAGGTGATAACACACAGGGAGATAATAACCTCCAAAAACTAGGCCCGGATGAAGTGTCTGTAGATATCGAGGCAGTCAGACGGGTCTATGATAGATTACTTTCTAATGAAAAAATAGAAACTGCCTTTTTAAATGCACTTGTGTACTTGTCACCTAATGTGGAATGTGACTTGACTTACCATAATGTGTACTCTCGGGATCCTAACTATCTGAATTTGTTTATTATCGTTATGGAGAATGGCAATCTTCATAGCCCAGAATATCTGGAAATGGCTCTGCCATTGTTTTGCAAAGCAATGAGCAAACTACCCCTTGCAGCTCAAGCAAAACTGGTCAGATTGTGGTCTAAGTACAGAGCAGACCAAATTCGGAGAATGATGGAAACGTTTCAGCAGCTTATTACTTACAAAGTCATAAGCAATGAGTTCAATAGTCGTAACCTAGTGAATGATGATGATGCTGTTGTTGCTGCTTCAAAGTGCTTGAAAATGGTTTACTATGCAAATGTAGTAGGAGGGGATGTGGATACAGATCATAACGAAGAGGAAGATGAAGAACCCATCCCAGAATCAAGTGAACTAACTCTGCAAGAGCTGTTGGGTGAGGAAAGAAGGAATAAAAAAGGTCCTAGAGTGGACCCGCTGGAAACTGAACTTGGTGTTAAAACTATAGATTGCAGAAAACCACTTATCCCTTTTGAAGAATTTATTAATGAACCACTGAATGATGTTCTAGAAATGGACAAAGATTACACTTTCTTCAAAGTAGAAACAGAAAATAAGTTCTCTTTTATGACCTGTCCCTTCATATTGAATGCTGTTACCAAGAACCTGGGATTGTATTATGACAATAGAATCCGGATGTACAGTGAACGACGCATAACTGTGCTCTACAGCTTAGTTCAAGGCCAGCAGCTCAACCCATATTTGCGACTTAAAGTGAGACGTGATCACATCATAGATGATGCACTCGTCCGGGTAAGTCGTGCAGCAACATGGAACCTTGGTTTGTTGATTCTGACTGGTGCAAACTACGTGGGCTTTGACTGAAAAGGACTGCGTGCGAGTGTAGCATTTTATGTACTAGATTTCCTCTAGAAGAAACTCAAATAGCTTTACCATATTAATTTGGAATTCTAAGCGCGCTGCGGAAGATTTGTATGTTCAGCAGAACCATTTCTACTCAGAGTGATTGCAGACTTAGATGTCTTAAAGTGTCCAGTAGTTCTTATGCCCTGTTAACCGGTTCTGCGCAGTTACAGCTCTTAATGGTGAGAGTAACCAGCTTCTGTTTCAGTACTTTTTTTTGTCCTCTGGGCTGTCTTGGATCATCTTTTGATAGTAGGGTTTTTCAGATCAGAGATGGAATTAAAACCTTTCAGTTGCGTTCTCTTCTTGTGGACTTCTGAACTTCTAGATATAAAGTGTGTGTCATGCCTGCGTGATAAGTAGAACTTCTTGCTTTTCTAAGCGTTGTTGCAATTTGGTGCAAATGCTGATATTACTGAGAAAGGAGAAGGCAGAACTGCTAGTGCCTGAGAACCGTGAGAGCAGCCCATTTCTGAATGTGCTGGCTTCTGAAAGTAAAACTTAAAGCTATTTGTTCATGCATTTTTTGGAAGATGGGAATTATACAGGATACAAACTATAAAGAATATTTCACAGTAAACTTTTTTCCATAAATATGTCCTTTAATGGGAGGATTCTTCCTCCCTTTATTTTTTGCTTAAAGCTCTTATTTTTCAGAAGGTCATTTTTCTGTTTTCTGTTATTGAAGCACAACAATATTTGTAAAACTAACCATGGCTTTAAAGCTTGTTGCTGAAGAGGCAGATGTATGGTTGGAGAGACTCTGGGTAAAGTACCTTTTTTTTGCCTCTCAGCCCAGCTGTTACTTCTAGTTAGATTTGATGACTTTAACTGCTACTGAACGTCAGTTGTGAGAGCCCTAAATGAGCTCCAACCTTGATTTTTCTGGGTACCTATGAATTTCCAGATGGGTTAGCTGCTTCATGGGAATTGCTGATATTATGACTTATCAGGGAAAACGTTTGTCTCCAGTACCATTAGGGAAAAATAAAATTGCAATGGAGAAATGGCATCTGTCTGTAAACCCAATTTTATATTAGGCAAATGAGAAATATACTATTTTATGATTAAAGCCTAGTATGTACCAGTTTTCTAACTGAAGAATAATACTCTTTGTAATTATACTAAGTATCAGACTTACAGTTGTATCCAGTTATGTTTTGTCACATGAATGTAAAGGAGTTTATTTCCTTGACTGTTCAGCTTTTGTATATGTAAGTACTAGAAAAAGGGAGGGACAGTACTATCTCTTTAGGAGAGGATGGGCTAGAAGAGGGTAAGAGCTGGTTTCAGGGAGATGTTCCTTTTAATGTCTGTTCCAGCAGAGAGGAAGCAGACTTTCCTCCTCACGCTCATGATGGAAAGGAAAATCTGTAAATACGAGAAAAGGCTTTCTTCTACATGTTGCTTGTTGTGGAAAGAAGTTGAAATCTTTGAGGACAAAAAAAGTATGTTTAGTGTTGCTTAGAAAGCTCATGGGCAACATGAAGTTGGTGCAGCTGCTGTATTGCAACGGGGCCACAGCAGTCACTGCTGTGCACACTCTTGGCCTGTTGGAAATTTAGGTAATTTAGATCAGATTAAGCTCAAACATACCAATTCAAATTACGATGCGTTTGCAGCAGCCCTTGCACAGCCTAGCAGTCTATAAGTACATGCCTGGGCAGTTGCCATGGATCCTTTTATGGCTGATAATTTAAGCTGTCAGCACATGCTAAATTGTGGTGATCTGACTGTCAAAGCCCCAAGGAGAGTCAGAATTTTAAACAGTTTACTCTAGAACAGAAAATAAAAATATAAAACTGTTCTAAATTCAAGTCGTCTGAGTTGAGCTGTAGTGTTAGTCAACGAGAGCAAGTGCAGCCGAGATATTTCTCAAAAGTGGAAAATAGATTATATTCAGTAAAATGAGATGAACGAAGACTTGCCATCCTAGCTGGAGGAACGGAGCTGTATGTGCCATTGCAAACAGATGCAACAAAATAGCTGTTGTGAGACAATGTGGACTTGGAGAAAATTTTGTTGATAAATATATGTAGTGAGTTCAGAAGTCGCCTTTTAATTATTGATGAGTTTTAACTGGTTTTGCGAAGCACCAGTGTTCAAGGAAGAGATTTTAAATATTCCTGAGGAAGTGTTAGAAGTTAAGAAAGGAGCAAATGAAACAATACAATGTCTCTGTTTACTGTGGTGTGCCTGTGTCTCTCTTTCCATTTGTTTCGTCTCAATATCAAAATGGATGCAGGAATAATCCATCAAAATGGATGTAGTTCAGAGTCTCTTCAAAGAGATTGTAAAGTCCTCTTGATGGTAAAAAAGATGACTGAGAGGATGTAAAAGGTGGCATGGAGAAGTTAAGTGGGAAATACTGATTTTCTCAACTAGTAGCACCAAGTCATATTATCAGCAAGCAGGCTTAACAGAAGCAAAAGGACATAATTTTTCCACACAGTGTACCTTAAAATTATGGGTTTCATTGCCCAGAACTTGTACCTCTCCATGAAAGAAAGATCCATCCAAAGCTAGTGGGCATGACAGGCATTTTGATGTGACCCACATGCAAACCTCAGGAAGTCTCTAAGCTGTAAGTCTGCTGGTAGCTGGAAAAGTGCTGTAGGGATGTAGGGAAAATATTGTTCCATGCTGTCATCTTGCACTTTCTTCAGCGGGTGCCTTCTCTGTTTAACTATTGTGTGCTGTTGTTAACACAGGTACTTCCTGTTACAGGTTGAGAAGTCTTTTGTTTTTTCTCCTTAGTAAATTTCATAATTTGTTTCTGCTTCCTAATTGTCCTGTAATTGGGTTGGATGAAAATTTTCAGTCCTATGTCGTAATCATTAAAGTGACTTGCTCTGTCTCTGATGGCAGTCAAAGCTGGAACTGCAGGTCAGAGATGGGTACCATCTGCTTCTGTAATAGCACTGACAGCATCATGCTGAAGTGAAAATCACTTTGTACGCGTTTGCTTCAGTGATAGTTGCAGCTGCAGTATTGAAATCTGGAAGGGTCTCACTGAAAACTGTCAGAAAGATGTTGCCAAGATAATGGTCTTCAGTAGTAAAAGGGTGTTCTTAGATCTGTTCAGTGACAAAATGTTTCCAAATATGCTTAAATTACAGGTAAGTAATTATGATTTCCAGTATCTTTACCCTTGCATTGCACTTTTTACTTCTGGGGTTTGAATACTTGAACGCTTGTTGAATATATAGTTACTTGCAATTTAATGTCACTAGACCTTTGTCTTTACAGAACAACCACTGCAGCCGTTTTGACTATATATGAAATAACTCTGATAATTTCATAACAGCAGCATTTTCAGGAATATTGATGAAAATTAGGTTGAGATGATCTTATTCATATTTTTCCTTGTTGATGCTGGATATTTTTCAAGAAAATATATTGATCAGTCTTCATAATTTCTTTTTGAAAATGGACTAAGTACAGGTCTTTCTCTGCTAATTAGTCAAGCTAATTTAGTTACCACCAAGTTGGTTTTTTTCTTATCAATATTTAAAATTTAAACTTTCAGAATTCATTATGTACATCTGACTTTTTGGACTTCATTAAAACCAGTGTGAGCACTGATAAGTGACTCTTTTTTTTTTTTAATTACTGTAGAATTTTTTCTTTTACTGAGAATTTGAAGCAATACCTTTTTAAATTTCTTTAAAGCAATAACTTGTTTAAAGCTGCTTATTAAGAGAGTCTTAGTTCACCCTGGAACAAATACATCTAAGCAAAAATTTTATTTACATATTCGTTACTGGATTTCTTTGCATGTATGAAACTTGCATCCGAAACTTATTTTTCTTTTTTTTTGTTGAAATTGACTTAATGAAACATGCTTTCTTTGTATTATATATTTATTGCATACTTATTTATATGTATGTTAGTCTGAAAAGTCACTGGGGGGCATACGGTTGCAAATAGGAAAGTCCTAGTCCTCACTTTTATTAAGGATCCCTTACATTTGGGAGTGGGTAGCTGAGTCTGCAGTTCTTGAAAGCAGTGAGCATGCTTTTTTTGTCTAACAGGTTGCTTTTGAAATGTTAACTGTACTCCTGCCGAGTCATGTTACCTGAATAGTAATGAAAGGAAATTTATCCTTAAATCCTCTCTTCTGTCTTTTCATTCCCCAGCGGTTTTTATTTCATCTTCTTCCTCTACTGTTTTTTTGCGCAAATTGCGTATGGATTTATTCTCAGGTAGCAGTAATTTAAAGGGTGTGAGTTACGACACACGGGTTCTGCAAGTGAAAATGTGATGGGAGTCTGACTGGTACTTGCTTACGAATTAGAAACTCGCGTTGACAAATTTTACATTGAATGTAAACAGCTGACAGGCAGCAAGCCTCTCCTGCTTTTAAATGACTCTGCTAAGTCTGTTGATAAGCAAAAACTCTTACGTGACAATTGAAGCCAATAGGCAGATTCTCTCACAGTTTATTAGCAACAAAGTACCCCAGAAGCTTTGAGGTTCTCTTAGACTAAGTCGATGTTTATGCGTGTTCAGTTTTATATCTCAGCAATAGTGTGCCTTGGTTGTGTGCAGAATATGTCTGACGATGGTGATGTATGCATGAACTGTAAAGCACAGCTTGAGAGGATGCTGCTTAGTTGCTTAAAGTTATTACTTCACATGCAGTTTAGCAGAAAATGTAGTGACCGACTCTGGTCACCTCTGTCACTGATACTTTCAAACTTAAATGTTGTGTTCATGCCATTTTTGCCTTCTAGCATGCAGAAAGTATTCCTGCCGCTGCCATGAGAGAACTTTTATGTTACACTGCTAGAACTTGAGGGTATTTTGATAGTTTTTAAATGAATAGAGATTATTTCAATTAGTATCACTTTTAAGAAGGTAATCAAACTCCAGTGTTACGTTAAGCTTTTAAATGTTGTCATATTTCTGTCATCCAATGGAAGATGCCTGTCTCTCAGGAAAGCACATTGTTGTTTAGTAAACAAAGTAAATCATACAGTCCCTTATACTGTGGGACAATATAATGTTTCAGCCAACAAAATACAGATACTCTTTAGAACATCGTGGCTTGTCTTTCATCTTTTCAGTTTGTAGATACTAAATTTTTGATGTTAGTGCTGCAGACATGCTACAAATGCTTTCTGGGAAGTCCCTGGAAAATGTAATGATGAATTCATCTGCTTGGCCAGTCAAACCATCATGGCAGAAAACATGTTAGCTTCTAAAACTCTGGGAATTCACGCATACACATAGGTTGGGTTTATCTAGCAGCATCTGTGTTGCCACCACTGGGGTAGCTCTGATTATTTAAAAAAACATACAACTTTAAACTGCGAGTTTGTACTTCCTTGCTGTAGAAACACTGCTGCAGTTCTGCTAAAATTCAGTGCTTCTATGCTGTTGTGCCTAATGCTGTGTTTTCCACTGAGTTCCAGTTTTCTCGTGAAGCATCAGTATTGAGAGACATGGATGTTCAAAGGAGCAGCTAAATTCACAATCTTTATCAACATTGTCCTAGTTATAGAAGCTACTTCAAGGAACGTTAGGTTTTCACTCAAAATACTGGCCTTTTTGTAATCCTTTATCTGACTCCCTCACAGACGACATTGCAGCATTGCAGTCTGTCCATTCGGCATTGCTCAGTTGAGGATGTTTCTTTCCCCACTTTTAATACTGCTTTTCTTTTACATCATTCATTGCAGCGTAGTTCTCAGCCAAAAAATAATTTTGAAACTTTTTTTTGAGTTGCAATATATGTAGAAATGGGAACACTCTCCTTAATATTAAGTGTATCTCTGGGACACAAGAGAGCCCTTACACTATGACAAAGGGTTGCTGTCCAAAAAGAAATGCAAAGGCAATACTTGCTTTCTCAGAACTCATCAAATTTCTTAAAACTTGCAAAATAGTAAATTGCTGGTGGTAAATATTACAGTGTCATGATTGGGGAGAAAACAACAAAGTAGTATTAGTGCCAGTTGTAAGTGGAAGGGATTCAGATAAGAGAGCTTCTGTCTGTCCAGTTTGAATGTATAACCTGTGCTTATGGTCTTAAACTAAATGGTACTTCTCTGCTTTTAAAAAGTCTCAGTTGTATTTGGAACATGGCTCAATATCCATTGTCCTTCTATTCAGGAACAGAATCTTTCTACACATCGATAAGATGCATAATTTTAAGATTTACATGAACAGCAAGATGCAAAACTACACTGTTACCAGAAGCATGTGATGAGAATACCACTGGGGGTAGAACTGCAACATGGTTTTGCTGCACAAATATTGTTGATAAAATACAGTGAATTTCAAAGAATGAATGCTGTTTGTTCTCCTGGGGAGCAAGACTAGTTCATTGCAAATTATATGCAATAAAATACCAAATGGACAGACTGCTTTAGGTAGTACATAACTGAGTTTTCCACATACTCTTGTAATTTAATATACATCTCAGTCTGCTAATCTGAATTAGCTTGCTCTCATTCTTGGGGTCTGCATGGCTTACCTCCATTTTTTTAACTGAGCTTTGTATCCTATGGAGTTACACCTCTTCCCGATACTAGTTTTCAATACCAGTTAGTACAATTCTTTCCCCACATAATCCTTTTGCATAAGGAGATTCAAAGTCTTCAAACCCAGAATAGAATAGAATAGAATGCTTTGGGTTGGAAGGGGCCTGTAGAGGTCACCTAGTCCAACCCCCCTGCAGTGAGCAGGGACATCTTCAAGTCGACCAGGTTGCTCAGAGCCCCATCCAGCCTGGCCTTGAATGTTTCCAGGGATGGGGCCTCCATCACCTCTCTGGGCAAACCCGTTCCAGTGTTTCACCACCGTCGTGGTAAAAAATTTCTTCCTTATATCCAGTCTAAATCTACCGTCCCTTAGTTTAAAATCATTACTCTTTGTCCTATCGCAACAAGCCCTGCTGAAAACATTTTCCCCATCTTTGCTATAGGCCCCCTTTAGGTACTGAAAGGCCACAGTAAGGTCTACCCACAGCCTGCTCTGTTCCAGGCTGAACAACCCCAATTCCCTCAGCCCTTTCTCATAGGAGAGGTGCTCCAGCATCTTTGTGGCCTTCTCTGGACCCGCTCCAACAGCTACATGTCCTTCCTGTGCTGAGGGCTCCAGATCTGGACGCAGGACTCCAGGTGGGTTCTCACCAGAGTGGAGTAGAGGGGCAGAATCCCTTCCCTCGCCCTGTTGGCTGCGCTTCTCTTGATGCAGCCGAGGATATGGTTGGCCGCCTGGGCTCTGAGCGCACATTGGTGGCTCATGTCCAGCTTTTCATCCACCATGACCCCCAAGCCCTTCCCGGCAGGGCTGCTCTCAATCCCTTTGTTGCCCATGATGACCACCTTACTTCTGTCACCCGTCTGCCCCTGCTGTGCTGCTTGCAACGTAGCTGGCTGACTTGGCAGTTGCCAGGAGAAAATGCGTTCTTACCGGTGTTGTCATTTTATGAGTTGATGGTGTCGTTATTGCTGTCTTTATCCTCTCAGTTCTGTTCCTGTTTTGCTTTACGCTTCTGTAGTAAAATTCTGGGACATAAAGGATGTGTTGGCTTGTGTGTGCGAATAAGGTAGGGTAGTGAAATAGAAATGGTTCAGCATGTTAAGGACTCCTGCTGGTAAGTACATTTTGTGCTAGCCCAGATTAGAGGCGAATCTCACCAGTAATTTGGTCTTGGCAGAAGAATGTGCAGGTCCATCTGTGCCTTACTTTACTGCTGTTGAGTTTTCTTTGCCACATAGGTATGTTTAATGTAATCATGCTGCACAAGTTTAACCAATATGTTTACACTTTTAAGCAGCATATTTCTTATCAGCAGCAAAATACTGCATACCTTTTGATTTACTGAAAGGATACATTTTTATTGGAAGAAAGTGAAAAACCTGTAATGGCCTTTATATAGACATGAAACCTTTTCCTATGAAACATCACAACTTCCATTTGACCTTAACGGAATTTTCACTTTCATGGAAGCAATGCGTTAGATCTGCTAAAGGCACTGAAGAAATAAGAGCAAGAAATTTCTGAGACTTCTTCATTGGGGTCAAGAGCAAAGGGGATCAATTTGACTGTAGTATTAGTGTCTTTTTATTTCTGAGGTTTTTTCCCCAGCTCTTTGCTTGTGAGATGCAACTACTAGTCAAAGCCTTGTCTTCTGTCTTCCACTGTAAATTATCACATAAAGGTTCTGAAAACATATCTGTGTTATCCCTTCACAAAACCATTTGTTGTCAAACCTGTAGATTGGATTGCAGTCTCTTTTCATTGTCAGAGGAGTTTAATTATCCCAGTAATACATCTTGTTTTCATATTGTTTTCTGTGAATTTTGTGCAACACAATTCTAACTTAAGTGTCTAAAAGAATATAAATGGAGAAAGGCTTAACTTAATTGGCTAACATATCAGATCTGTGATAAATTTCTTGCTGCATTAATCCCCAAATTCTAATACGTGCTTAGAGTCAATTAACATTGCTGTTGGTTTCTGATATTTTACTGTTATGATTTACACTTGCTTTCTTTGTAGGTTTGGAGGATAGTTTTGATTTCATTATTTGTTACTCAGTTGGCTCTTCTAGTAAACAGATTTACTAATGAAATACTTCTGTCTGTTCAATCGATAGCTAGAGATGATTGCCATGGAAAATCCTGCAGACTTGAAGAAGCAATTGTATGTTGAATTTGAAGGAGAGCAAGGAGTAGATGAAGGAGGTGTTTCCAAAGAATTTTTTCAACTGGTTGTGGAAGAAATCTTCAATCCAGATATTGGTATGTGTTCTAGTAATTCACTAATTTATCAGATTTTTCCCACAAAATGTTGGACCAGATGATCTTTCAAGATCCCTTCCAACCTGGGCTGTCCTGTGTTTATGCAGTGCCTTTCTACATCTGCTGCTGCTTCTCTCTGAAGCCCTCCAGGTTTCTTGGTGACCATGAGAGTACTTAACCCATTGAGGCTCACTATTGTCATCATCAGTCATCCTCCTAAGGAGGAATGATGAAAGAAATAACTGTGTTTAGTTAGTGAAAGCTACCATTGCTTGTTCTGATATGAATCAATAGTATAGGGTTTCTTTGCAGGGTTCCTTTGTTTGTTCTCTCACCTTTCTCCTCGCTTTGCTTTGTGATTAGCTTCTAGAATTAGTAATCAAACCAAAGAGGAAGAGCTTCTGCAATAAAACCAGAGTAGGACTATGGTGAGTTTCTGAGTTATTTCCTCCCCTTCCTCCAGCGTAAAAAAATCTGATAGTTTCAGTTCTTCTGATGATTTCATCTAAAAGGGGTGCAAATCCAAAGAGTGGCAGTAATGTCAAATTTGATTGCAGTTAGTTAAGAACTAGGAGTAATTTGATGTGTCGGAGCCAAAGTTTTATATTTGTGTTTTAACAGTCACGTTTCCATCTTACTGTTTTTTCTCTTGCTCCCTGCACCAGTCTTTTATGCTGCTTTCTTTATATGTGCAAGGACATGCTGCTTTTAATATGCAGCTTGTCTGCTGCTCTGAAAAGATGAAAAATTTGTAAAATGTTATGAATACTTTGTGTTAAAATAGAAATGAGACCTACTAGGTTCCTAAATTATGGACATTAGTTGATTTGGGTTCACTGAACTGTTTTGAAAAAGAAAGCTGTTGTTCTTGGTTTTGTAGCTTAGAAAATTGTTGAAGAAACACAGAAATTCATTTTGACTGGGTTAAAGAGGGAATCCTCAGAACCAGTAACAGAATCTGAACATTGGCACTTGCCCTTCGCTATACGCAAGCCAGTTCTTGTTACAAGTGATACAGATCTATAGACAAGTCTCACTCTCTCTGGAGAGATTTGGAATCTGAATTAGCAATATTGCTTGGAATAAATTAGAGTATGGCAAGATAAGGAAGTCTTAGTACTTTGACTGACAAAGTTGTATTTCCAATGCGAAATACGTTTTTGACCTGAGTTTGTTTAAACGCAAGTTGTGTGGGGTGCCTACATTGGAGTACTCCTATGTAGTAATTGAAGTCTGGTTCAGCTAAGATCCAACCAATGTTGGATGATCCAATGCTCCGTGCATGTAAAGGTGGACAATAGATTAGATGTGCGTCTGTGTTCTAAATTTTACTTCTGTATTCAAAATACGAGAAAGTATGTACAGTTTCTGTTTTCATATCAACTTTCAAAAAAAGGCATTTATTGGCTTTTGGCATAAATGTGTAAAAGCAGAAAATGTAGCTTGCCTTCACAGTCTTTTCTTTTGCACCTATTAATATGCACTGCAGTGTAACAGTTTACACACCGTATATACCACGTGTGACTTTTGTGGATTTGTAAACACTTTATTTACCAGAGAAAATTAAGGAGATCCTTTAAATGGAATTTAACGTGTCTGTCCTGTGATAGGTATGTGTGGAGTGATGTCTATTGCTGTAACAGTTTCTTTGCCATTACATTTCAAGTGTTCTCCTATCAAACTACCTTAAAGTTTTACTCAAAGGAGGCAATAACTCAGACAAAATATTAGATTTATGACCAACAGTTGCCATGGTAAAAGAGAAGGAGGAATAACTTCATACAATATTCCTGGCAACACTATACAATTGTTTTTCACTTATGGCAGCTTCCAGTTTCTTCTGGTGTTTTTTTACAATTTTAATGTACTATAGTCTTAATTTTGTGTTTAATCTTGTGTTTCATATTAAAGTGTTTCCAGATGAGGATCTAGTTAAACTGTTACTCCATTAGTCAGACATTCGCTGGAGTTGTTTGACTATTTAACTTTTCCATCATCTTCCAGAAAGTACAAGTCATTGCTTTTATTGTGCCAGTAGTCCAGAAGTTACTTCCGTCAATTCAGAAAATGGAATGCAGGCTTCTATTTACTGTTTCTCCAACAGATGCTTGTGTTGCTCATCCACTTCCGATTTCCAGTTGCCTTACCTGGTGTGTTAGTCTGTTATTTGTGTACTCCCGTAATAGCTGACCCTGACCTTACTGAGATAAATAATTTTCAATTTTGGGGAGTAACCAGAGTCTCCAAATGAGTTTGCAGTTCATTTCCTTACGCTGAATGAGAATTCAGGCTTTATCTCTTGGCTAAAGGTGACATTTTACTCTTAAGAGTAATTTTGTTGCTGTGTGGCTTTGTGCTCAGTGTGTACATCTCCATAGGTTGTAAATAAGCATATCTTTTAAGAGTTGACAAGATAAGTGCTTGTGCCAAGTGTAGTTCATATGCTTGACCACATTCTTGGCCACATACACTAACTTCTAATGTGTTGGGATGAAGGAGCCTGGGCACTTCTCCTTAGGTTCTGCCTAGAAATCGTGAGACTTCGCTGTATAAGCAACAGGTCACTGGGACCATACTTGTCCAGGGTGGTGTGTCTCTCCCCTTAAGGCTGTGGGGTTTGCATTTATCTTGCTTTGGTATCTAGTCAGGTAAGAAGTGGATTTTACTGTGGGACTCATTTAAATAGTTTATAGTCTGTACACAAACTCTGGTTTCATAAACAAGAGCTAAGCTAGTGGCTTGGTATAGCCAAAAGGTTAAGGGACTCTTTGCCCTTCTCTGGTCTGTACAATCCTATCCACTCCCTCCCGCTCCTAGCATATGCCAGTACAGCTGTTTGAAGCTTTCTGTGAAGGCACTGAGCATGTGAACTTCGCAAGAAATTGGTCAGCTGAAATAGCGAGCTGAACCAGAGGAAGGGATAGGGGAATAAAGCAAGACCTCCCCCTTTCAACAGTGACAAGCTGCTAGAATTGCAGCCCTTCCTGTGAAACAACAGCCCCATGTTATGTTTTCACCTCAAGCTAGGATGTATGTGATAAATGCAGCAACAGTGGACCTTGTCAAGTACCTTTAAACAAACAAACAAAATCTATTAGGCATCTAACTCTTAAGTTCATGTGTGATGGTTAATTCCTACTCCATCATCATAGCTTCCAGTTTAGTAACAGGGCTGCATCTAGTCCTGTTCCTCTGCTGAACTGGCCTGGAAAAGCCCTTGAGGAAAGGCTATCACTTTATTATAGTTGGAGTTCTTCAGAATTATTTCATCCACGTGGTGTTTGATTTGTGTTCTTTTCCTGCACTGTTGTATTTATCAAAGTTACCATCCATCTGTGTTGACGATGTGCTGTTGCTTCCTCAGTAATGGAAGGGGTGAGAGGTTGTGTATGTGCAGCTTCAGGAGGGCATCGCAGGGTGTTATATCGCAGGTCTCCTGCATGCCTTTAATGGTAATGTGAGTAACAGCATTGAGCAGCTCCAGTTACCTGAAGGTAAGTAGCTTTTCTTTGCCAGTAAATTCAGCATAATGTTAAGTTAAACATGTTTTAGAGACATTCTAATGCAAATGGGTTTGTAATGGTATGATTTACACCTCATTTCTATTGAAATGTAACCATAATTGTTCAACATCGTTTTTTTACAGGGATGTTCACATATGATGAATCTACAAAACTGTTTTGGTTTAATCCGTCCTCTTTTGAAACTGAGGGTCAGTTTACACTGATTGGCATAGTACTGGGTCTGGCTATTTACAATAACTGTATACTGGATGTACATTTTCCCATGGTTGTCTACAGGAAGCTAATGGGCAAAAAAGGAACTTTCCGTGATCTGGCAGACTCTCATCCTGTAAGTTCATTATGTTCTTTGAGTTTATTAAAGCATTTTCCATGCAATAGCTTAATCTAGTAGATTTAAATTAAAAACAAGATCACTGTCAGAAGTGGAAGCGAAATAACTAGTGACTTGTGTGAAGAGTCTGTTAAAATAAATCCGTAGGCAATAAAACCTCTTACTACATCTGGTTTGGAGGAGGCAGGATTGTCAGGTCAACAAATGGGGCTGGGTATCAACACAGCTTTGTTCTGGTTTTTTTACACACTGCTGAAATTGCTTAATGTCACTAAACTATTATTAATAGTATCTTCCCAAAGAGACTTCTAAACTTAGGCTGTTTATATCTATTTGTAGAAGTAGTTTTCTACAAAAAATGCAGAAGTAACAGTAGATGTGCAAAGATGTGATGCTCGGGGTTTTTTCTTTTTGTCTAAAGCAAAAGACAGATGAGGCAGTTCATGAATATCCCTGCAGTTTGGGAGCAGTGATCCGTGTCCGTCCTCCTCCACCCCTCCCCAGCCAGTGGCTGTACAAAAACAGCAAGCCGTGCACGTGCTTTAGTAGGTGGCGCATAGAAGGACGTATGCAGGATGTCTTGGCCCTGCTCCATCTTCAGTCTGGCTAGTATGAGTTGTTAGTTCGTTTCAGATGGCGGGATGTTTCCCTTTTCATAAGCAGTTATGCAAAATTTTCAGCTATTTAAAAAAGATGAGTAAAATGATACTGTTTAAAAAGAACTTGCCTTTTATTTTTATTTAATCAGAAAATGAGCCATGTGTAATCAAAAAATAGGTTATCCAGTCTGCTTTGCATGGCTACATAAAACAGCACACAAGCTTTGACCAGTTTCTCTGTAAAATGATGTTGAGAAATACACAGTGCTTGTGGTTTCCTGTAATTTTTATTACATACTCAAAATTTTTTGAGAAATTGGATTTATTTCTGTGGACAAGGCAGTCAGGACATTTCCTCATTTTTCTCCTATACTCCTGTGTTTCTCCTCTGACACCTACACTCGTGTCTTCTAAAGTAATCCTTTTTAAACTCTTTGTATTCTAATACGACTTAAACACTTACTTCAGAGCTTCTCAAACCAAAAATGAAATTCGGAGTAGTCAAGCCTCCCAATGCTTTTTCTAATGCTGTTGAGCATGGAGGATAGGGTGTTCATCTGCCCTCACCACCAATGCAAGATATTTTTAAAGGAAGAATCAAAAGGATACAGATGGTGAGAGGATGAGGCTTCCATGTAAACTTTCAATAATTCAAACATTGAGGGAATATTTATTACTTCTACTTCACTATAAAAATATCATTGCACTCAGTTGTTGCTTTTACCTTCACTTTGCATTCTTGAGTCCTACACTGTTGTCTCAGCCAAAGAATTGTTCCTTTTTGGCATAGCCTTTGGTTTCCAAGAGAGTCTTGGGCTTTTCCTAAGGCATAGCAGGGAGCAAGGCTGGTTGCTCGTTTGAGTAGAGCAAACTCTTACAGGTAACTTCAGATTCCACTTGGCAAATTCTAACCGAATTTGTGATTATTTTTTTTTATTATTATTTTTGTTTTGTGTATATAAGTTTTCTTACTTTAATGACTGCCCTATCTATGTTGCTTCAAGATTACTTTCTAGTTTGTTTGGGTTGTAAATCAAGATGTAGGAGATAAAAGCCTGCTGCCTGAATTATTTGATATAAAATACAGCGTTTTCTTTGATTTTAACAGACATGTTCAACTTACTGCTGTAATATGTTCTGGATGCCAAAAGTAAATACAGTTTCAAAAGAGTTAAGAAAGGAAGAGGTAATCGGTGGCTCTTGAGCTACAGGTCTGACTATTGTATTTAGGAAGATTCCTGGGTACCGGTGGGCTCTTCGAAGAGCGCTGTCACTCGCTGCCATGTTTGGTTTATTGTCATTTCTTGATATCTGCTATTGGTTGTTTTTACAAACACTGAGCTTAAAACACCTTTGTTTGGACTGTTATGGGAGATCTTAGGTGACTTGTGTCATAGAACGTGACAGCCCTTTTTGAGGCAGATGATTTCATGTCTTCTGGTATTACTAAGTGAAATCTGTTGAAATTTATGTATGACAGACGTTTATTTCTTATTCTGTTAGGTTCTTTACCAGAGTTTGAGAGACTTGCTAGAGTATGAAGGAAGTGTGGAGGATGATATGATGATAACGTTTCAAATATCTCATACGGATCTCTTTGGCAATCCAATGATGCATGATTTAAAGGAAAATGGTGATAAAATTCCTATTACGAATGAAAATAGAAAGGTACACTCAAATATTGCTAACATAATCTGTAATTTTTAGATACTCTATGCAGAATTATGTAGGACTCTATAAAGGTTTGGTCTCACTTGTAATTTAAGTTTAAAAGCCTTTTAAAATTGCCATAGCGCAGTGTAGTAATAAGAAAAGGCTTCTCTTTTTAAAGAAAGCATCAATACGTGCGTACATGGCCTCTGGGTGTGGTGTCTGACCTGTTGGAGGAATATTTAAGACTTGCGCTTTACTGCTGAGTGGAAGCTGAGCCCAAATAATCCACACAGAATGAAGTGTATTTCGTATTTTGGGGTCTTAGATTTTTGGGAGATACTTCAAATGGCATGTGTCGAAGTACTAAGGGTTTTTTGGGGATTTGTTTCCTTACAGGAATTTGTCAATCTGTATGCTGACTATATACTCAATAAATCAGTAGAAAAGCAGTTCAAGGCCTTTCGGAGAGGATTCCACATGGTGACCAATGAATCTCCCTTGAAATATTTATTTAGACCAGAGGAAATTGAATTACTTATTTGTGGAAGTAGGGTAAGAATCCTGAATGTACACCAGAAAAAGTGGAGCTTTTTTGATCCTAAGTATGTAATTAGTGGTCATTTTTTAAAATGTCATCTTCTTACAGAATTTAGATTTTCAAGCACTAGAAGAAACTACGGAATATGATGGTGGCTATACGAGAGACTCTCTTATTATTAGGTAACTTTTTCTAATTTCTGAAAGATTAAAAGGACTTTACATGCCTATTTCTTCATAATTAATTTAATATTGTAAGATTTAGTATTTTTTTAGTACTGGAGGTGCAGGTGTCGTGTATAATTTCAGTTTACTCAAGTACTGTCATTAGAAAAGAGGAGATCTTATAAGCATTGTCTTCAGCTTCTCGTGAACTTTAGTAAAGCTTAAAAGGGTTCTTTCTCTGGGTTTTTCATCTTTCTTGTATACCATGTAGTTAAATAATCCCCAGTATGAACAGGGCTGTTTCAATTAATTATCAATTAAACTATATTTTTTTTGAAGAGGGAAAATGTTTCTAATTTTTTTACCTTCTTAGCCACTTTGATTAGAGAGCTCTGACAAAGGCCAGAGAAATGTGCGTCTTCGGTCCTCTGAACTTTGCCAACTGCTTAACTAGTTCCTGCTAGGGCAGAAAACCTTTGACAGCAGCTGTATTTCTTTACTGTGGTGTTTAAGAAGGCGGTAGCAATGGGCAGTGTAGCGGAACCAGTGTAATTCCGTAAGAAGCAGGAATAATAAAATAAAGGAAGAATATCTGCAGATCACTTATCAGATGAATTAACATTTAAAGAGAGTTAAACTGCAGTGTTTTAGTAATATTTCTGATTTCTACTTCTGAATCTCAGCAATTGGCAAATGCATTACTGTTAGTTATGGTTTATGAATGCAGCCTGTAAAGTGATGTTAAGATGGATTAGAATTACTAAACCTTCAAAGTTCAGTTACTTTTGAAAGTCTCGATTATACCAAGGAAAGTTTTCAGTTTACTTACTTTTTGATTTCTTTCTTGATAGAGAATTCTGGGAAATAGTCCATTCATTTACAGATGAACAGAAAAGACTATTCTTACAGTTTACAACAGGCACAGACAGAGCCCCCGTGGGAGGACTTGGAAAGTTAAAGATGATCATAGCCAAAAATGGCCCAGATACAGAGAGGTAAAATAAAAAAAAAAAAAACACCCCTACATTTTGCTTGTTTTTTGTAAATGGAAGCGAGTTTGTGCTTTTTATTTATTACCGTAGTTAGATCTGAAAGTTGAATCTTCCAGCAAAGTAGATTCTCTCTAAATTCATTATTTTGGATGTGTGAAATAGCAATGTATTTCTTTGCGTGTTCCCAGATCTGAATTCTGTTTTGTTTTCCCCACAGGTTACCTACATCTCACACATGCTTTAATGTACTTTTGCTTCCGGAGTACTCAAGCAAAGAAAAGCTTAAGGAAAGATTACTGAAGGCCATCACATATGCCAAAGGATTTGGCATGCTGTAATAAATATGACAAAAGGGATTAAAAAAATGACGGTGATGGATGTCCCTGTCCAAAAAGGCCATAAGATAGTGAGCTACAGTAGTCACCTGTGTTTGTGCCTCCCTTCTTTACTGGGGACATTGGGCTGGAACAGCAGATTTCAGCTGCTTATATGAACAAAATCTTTATTTTTTCTTTTAGCGTGAAAGTGTTACATATTCTTTCACTTGTATGTACAGAGAGGTTTTCCTGAATATTTATTTTAAGGGTTAAATCACTTTTGCTTGTGTTTATTACTGCTTGAAGTTGAGCCTTTTTGAGTATTTACAAGAAAACAAACTGTACTCTCCCAAGGAAAATATTGCCATCATTTGTAGACCATGTAACCTTCAAGTATGTGCTATATTTTTGTCCCTGTATCTAATCAAATCAAGAACTGTACTTTTTGAAGAGTTTGCTTTTGAAACTTGAAGTCTTGGAAAACAGTGTGATGCAATTACTGCTGTTCTAGCCCCCAAAGAGTTTCTGTGCAAAACCTTAAGAATCAATAAAGATGGAAGGGAGAACTTGGAATGTTAAATTGCAGCCTTGAGAACTTTACTTTAGTCACAGCACAACAATTAAAATTCATTTCACTATATGTTGTCTTCACATGTCTTGTAATAAATTGTGTTTTAAATTAGGAAACATTTCTTAGCACATGGAAGGGTAGAAATTTTAGTTACATTTTTTAAAAAGAAGTTTACTGGGGAAAGTGCATTTTCAACTGAACAGCTTTAGAGTAGGGAGTGAAGTGTTTGGGAAAAAAGATAGGAAGTTTTTGCTTTATTATAAACAAAGCATGTGGAAGTGCACTTAAAATGAAGTTTTATTCTTAATTGCCTATTATGTTGACATTTTAAATAGACAATCCAAAGTCTTCCCTACATGTTATGTCATCACCATTTATTTAATAAATTGCTGTTCCTACTTATCAAGGCACATGATCAGTGTTGCAACATAATCTAAAGGGATGGCTACTGTATTTTAATCTCATCTAACAATAAGCAAAATTGAACAATATTAAGCGCAAGACCTACTTCATGTTGTACACTTCCAACCATTAAATAAACTGTTAGAAAGTAAGTACTAAGGTTATGTTCATCTACTACATAAAGTATTCAGTAGGTTTTTAATTTAACTCTACAGATCGTATCAGAAATAAATCCTTTACCTTTCGTAGTCTGTGTTTAATGTTAATTTCTCCTGTTGCAATATATGACAAAGGGATTATGCATTTTTAAGCGAAGACGTAACTGGCATATCTCTTACAATGCAAGCTGCAGCGGATGTGCAGAGCTGAGCTTGTGCCTTGACAATTGCTCTAACCAACTACTACCGATCAAACCCACGACTGTGTGGAATTGGCATTGAAAGGCATAGTTTTGAAATCATTGGAGGAAGAAAAGATGTCTTTCAGGACTATTTTAATAAATTCTTTCTAGTACTAGCAACAGACAACTGTTATGTAACTGATGCTGAATAAAACAGTGACCTTCTTTTCACCACAGTTCAGTGAGAAAGAAAACAAGTGACTTCCTTACTTTGATGAATTGGGTATTAAATTATTTGATTGGAAAACATTGTAATACAGCACAATTTGAGGGTTACAGGTACATAAAACTCTCCAGAAGTTGAACTGTAGTGATGCGGGGGCCAGCGATGTTCCGCTCTCCGGTCCCAGCTGATGCGGGGACTGAAACTTGCTGGGGCGGGAGCGGTGCTGGCTGTCTGCTGGTCTTGGGTCTCGAGGTGGCCCTTGGGGCATGCCTTCTGGAAGGTCCGCCTCGCTGCACCTCCTTGGAGAGGGACGCAGCAGATGCCCCACCTCTCAGCAGGGTGGCTGGCAGCGGTGCTTGCCGACGGCTTCAGGTTTGGGGCATCTCTTGCTGTAGGTGGCGAGAACAAGATTTGCCGAGTGCCTTGAGGTGTTTCGATACCAGTGCGAACCACACCGTGCTAGAACCACACCGTGCCGCTGCTGTGCGGTGCGTGCTGCGGCGTCAGTAGTCTTCATGCTGTTCAGCCGTGTACCTGTAACTCGGTTCGTGCTGATGTAGCGACAGGGGGTGGTTACGCCCAGCTGGCAAGCGTACAAGACTCATGTTGGGTTTTTTTATATAGGTCCAAAAGCTGGGCAGACCGCGTAATTGGATAGCAATACGAAGTTCGCTGAATGAAGTGTTGATATTGTAAATATGCTTTTTCTGTCTTCCTTTAGCATTAAGATTAAAATAGTACCGAATTGTATTGGCCTTTAAAAGCATAAGTTGTTTTTCAAGGAACCATTTTCAGGTAAGATCTAAGTACTTTGTTTGACAGATTTCCCATTTAAATATATACTGCCTCCCCTAAATGCCACTGTGTTGAAACCTTATCTCCTTAGTGGTGTTATAAATGTGCTAATTGTCCAGCAGCAGCAGTTTATAAGGTTTAAAATAAATAAATCTTGAAGTCTTATAGTTGTAGGCTGCTCTCCTGCCCTGCGGAAGTCCCAGTCAGTCTTCTGTTGCTTGAAAGGTTTGTCAAAGTGGCGAAAATGCCATTCTAATGTATTTTTTTGTGGGCTCCAGGCACACCGAGAATGTCTCTCACCCTCTCTTAGTCTTTCACCAGCGTGAAGCAAATTTTAGGTCTGTAAGACTTGCCTTGGAAACTTAGGTGTACTTATGTGTCACTCGGATACCTCTCTCGAGTGAGCCAGAAGACTCCACTTCCAAGGTGGCAGTTTGATGCCAGGATGCTGGTGCTCTCTCCTCGGGGCGTCCTTAATACGTTAACAAGAAAATATTTTGGGCATCTCGGCATTGTCTCACTTGACAAGTGACAAACGGCTCCTTGAGCATTGCCTTCTGTACCCCGATAGACTGCCAGGGTGCTTCTGACCTTGGCGCAAAGGGGATGTCAGGCTTTTAACTGTATTTTTGTAGTGTCGTGTGCCTCAAATTACAGTAATGCAAGATTACGCTGAAAAGAATCATCTTGGGTACTGGACAAATACGGCATTTTTTCAGATTTCGTTAGGAGTAGTTTTGTTTAGCTCTGAAGGTAAGTTGGCATGTGACTCTGCATGAGCAGAGCATCACCTTTTAAAAGAGGAAGGCGTCTGTTTGTTGCTAAAAAGATTTCAGGAACAGCCCTCATGAGTCAGCACAGCTCAGTTAACCAAGGGACAGCCTTCTGCGAACGGACCGGGCTTACCTGGGGCTTTGAGGACGGCCGGCGCTGGAAGGGGCTGGCCATGAGTCTGGCGCTCCGAGCAGCTCTGCGTCACCGCAGT